GAGTAAACATTTTTCAGTCTCATATCAGTCTTCCCTGACTTCCAACTTGGGGGAGCCTTCTGTTGTCGACCTTAAACACCTTTCGGCAAGCAGATAGGTATAATTCTTTTTGGACAGAGATTCCTCGGTCTTAACGACCTCTAACTGATAAACAGGTTAAACTGAGAGCTACCGTGTCTCCCAGTAAAACATTTGAAAAGGGCGTAACCTTTTGCAAAAGCAATATAAGGAAGCTTGAAGATTGCGTATATAGCAGAATTTAATGGAACCATAAATTTCGCGAGCGCTCATCAGCTGCATCCACTCGCTGCATAAACTGAGTAACGAGCATGCTTCCTTTAAAACATGTTTGAATTTAAGAGGGTTTAATAGGTGAAAATGAAAAGAATAAATATTGTTTACGCAGTGTTTTTTGGTGAACGGGATTTTCTCGGATGGCCAGGAAGATCCGCGTTCAATAGTCGACGTCCTCATTTGACTAAAATACCTCGAGATTATACTGCGTACTAATCAATATTTAAAATCTGTCTAAATAATCCTTCATTATCGAAATTTCTTTCTTCATGATTTTAGTTGACGTCCCATGAAATAACCTTCCAACTGTCTCTACAAGGCTATCAACACCGTCGTAAACAGCTTTGGTCCCAACGGGCACAGTATGGCGAGTGCTGCAAGCAAAATGCCGCAATTTGCGGAAGAATAATAATAACTCGCAAACCAACATTAAGTAAGGATGAATACTGATTATTGTGCAGCCTAATCTTAAGTCTTTTCAGTCAAGTCATGACGCCGTTTTTTATCGAGCTTCTTCCTGACCGTTCACAAAAAGTATATTCTGTAAAAAATGGCAACTTATTTAGTATACATTTCTATCATTGATTTTGACTACATTTACAAATGTTTTCTTTTACTCATTTAGTAGGAAATTATATTTTCTTTAAATGTTATACCTACAGAAAGGGCATCTTTCGGTTTTAGAAAAAGTTCTAATTATGAGATTGTTTACGACTGTGAAGTGTTCATTCACAATACATCGTATACGTCTATTTATTTATGCTGCCTATAATGTATACGG